TTTTCCAAGCCCCTGGGATTTTTTTTTTTTTTTTGTACACTGGTTCAAAGGTCAGCACTTTGACTGCATTCTGAACCCGGCACTGAAAGGCACATATCTGATACCCTGTACAAGAACTGCTGTGGATGCTGCAGTGCGAATGGGCAACAGAAGTGGATCCCATTTTCATGGATCCTGGGAATCAGATTGGGAGAAGGGAAGAAAAGGATAATAAGAGATTTTACCTGCTTCTGTTCATACACTAGGTGAGGGGTTTCTAAACTTCCTCCCACAGTCAAACAGCTTTTAAAAGGCTGTGCAAAATTTAAAACTGCTGGTAAGAGCTGCATAATAAAGGTTAAATGAAAAAACTGTTTTACACCCTACACCTTCTCCTTTCTTCCTGTTTTATTGCTGATGAGCTGGGACAAGTGAAGGAGTGACTATTCCCCAAAAAAGGAAGGGAGGAAGAAAAAAATTGATTTGAGAGAAAAAAATGGAACAAAAGAAAACAAAAAACCCGAAGAAATTCCAATCCTTCACATGACAGAATTAAAAGCTGCCTGACTGGGAACACCAAAAAGCTAATCTGTCCCAGAATTGCCCATCAGACTTTTACTACACTGTTTAAAAAAAAAAAAAAAAAAAGTGTTAGTGGGTTCCCTTTTTACTGGAAAGACCAAGAATACAAAAAAAGGAAGTATTGGGGAATGTTTGACACCATTTTATTCATCTTCAACTGCAGTGGAAAAATATAACCTTTTACAAGTGCCGTCTTGTGTAAGCTCAAGTCAGTATATATATATTTATATAAATTTCTCTTTTTTCCTTTTTTGTTTTTGAAGTGCAGCAAGAGACCAATACCACATTAAAATTCGATCAAATAAAGAGCACAAAAGGCCAAGCAGTTTCCAAATGGCATTTTATCAGATTGTTTGAACATTGAATTTATCCTCATTTTGCAATCCAAAATATTACCTGAAGGTTTACTTTATTGTTTTTCAACTCTTTGGCACAATTTTGTGGGTGTTCGGGCTGCTACAGTACAAGTCAGGAGAGATCTTTCCCTTTGCGTTCTCATTGCCAATTCTGAGCACTTTGTGTTTGTGTGTAAGTCTGAAATCTTGTTTGACAATTTGTTTCTATTCCCTCTAACGCAAGAGTTTTCCCCCCCATTTCTACATTCACAGTTGAACAATATTAAGGAAGGAAAGGCGCTTTGATGAAACAAGATCATGAAAAGCGTCACTCTGAATGGGAGGCTCTGAACATTCGTCAGTGTTTCCCTAAAATAAAAAGCCCTAAAGAGCGACTTTCCTTTTATTTTTTCCTCTTTTCTTTTTACATCTCTTAGGCTGCATCAGTAGACTGAACTTCGGTTAGTTTATGAAATGCAACAGCTAACCCTTTTTGGGAAAAGATAAACTGCAATGACTTTGAAGTTGAGAATGTGGATACCGCCTCATTCACACACACTCACTCTTAGACTGAAAATCCTTCACCCCTCCTTTAACCCAGGGTGCACTGATAGCGTTGTGTGGCAAGTTACAGAAGGCGGGCCAGAGACCCAGACTCCAGCTCTCTTCAGCAGCAAAAGCCAGACCTCAAACAAAGAGCACCACAGTTGAACCTAGTTTCTTCTCTTCCAAACTAGTTATTCCGCTCCGCACTGGCCCAAAGACAGAAAAGCTAGTCCTAGTCTCTGTCGGAAGAGACTGCTTATTTCAAACAGCTTAGTCATTCCCTCTTCCTCAAGGCAGACGACGTCAGGTTTTTTGTGTTTGTTTTTTTTTGTTTTTTTGTTTTTTTAACGCAAGTCAGTGCTCAGCTCACTAACAGCGCTGCTGCTGTTACTGTGGCGGGATTTTCAATGTGGTGTGTTTCACGTCTCACTCACTCATCCTCTCATTCCCAAACATTCAGCATCCGTGCACGCTCCTTATTTCCGGGTTTTTTTCAAAAGATTGGAGATTTCCAGTGGGGGTCTCAGGTGTCATCCCAATGGTAACAGATCTGTAATCAGAGGTGGGGGAGGGGGACAGTCATAAAAAAACCAAGACCCGCTATAGGAGCCAAAATAGGATTATTTACAATCAAAGGAAATAGGCACATCACAACACTGAAAAAAGGCCTAGAGTTCAATGAATTAAAAGGTGCACATCCGACCAGAAGTAAGTGGCTTTTCCCAAATGCTACATTCCCTGTACTTTTCCATGATTTAAAAGAAATAGGAAGCAGAGCTGGAAGTGATCTCAGAAGTCATCTAATCCAACCCCCTTCTCAAAGCATGATCATTCCCATCTAACCCATCCTAGACAAGTGTCTAACCTATCCTTAAACACTTTGCCAACAACCCTTACACATACCACACAATGACCTAAACTTCAACACCACCTTAGCTTGCTACAGGTAAAGCAGGGGGATAAGGGCACTGCCAATGTCCTGCCACTGCAAGGATAGGAAGTAGTTAGAACACCCAGAAGAGGTCCAAGGAAAAGGACAATAACTATAGGAGGAAGGCAAAAACCCTCACAAACCCATGCCAATCCAACTGAGGTAAAATTCCTTCCTGATCCCAGACATAAAGATCAGTCAGACCCTGACCAGAGGAGCAACACCTTCTAGGCAGGAACCTCTGGGTTCTTTAGTCCTAGCAGAAGCATTGGCACATGCTAGTCAAATTCCCGGCCTTGGGACAGAAGCTATGGGTGTTAGCTGCAGCCAACTTGTTCTGGGGACAGATGTTTATTAGACAAACTAGATTTGGAATGTGTGTCGCTAAGTGTAATATAATTTCCTTTACCAACAAGCAGAGATAGTGTTAAAAAACTAAAATGCACCTAAAAAGATCCAGGGAAAGCAAGAGAGAACTCACTAGCAAGCTACAGCTGCTTCACGAGCAAGGATTTGATTCTATTGTGGAGAAGACCTCTAGTCCAAACTTGTGGAGTGAAGGCCAAAAAACTATTGTGTTAGCTCAATTTACCAAGATCCCAAGCAGCAGAAGATAGGACTACTTGGAAGAAGTATGATAGGAAATTGTTTTCTAGCTAAGGGCTTTTGTGAAGAGTCTCCTTACCAAGCTTGATTCTTCAGTTTTCGCAGTTCTTTAGTCGCCCAGGTAGCGAGGGTTTTTGTTTTATTCGTCTTGGATCTTCTTCCTTCAGTTAGCAGTTCATGTATCATGGGTCTAGCTTCTACTAATTTCAGTACATCTTTCCCAAATGCTGTACACAAGTCCCTGGAGGGGAAACAGTGGAGAGTAAATGGGCTTCGAGGCTTACCAAATGCCACAAACAGATATGCCAGTGACAGTTTGAACAGCTCTTGCTAGCAACAAGAAAAGAGTGAATCACACAATCAAATACCCTTTTTAAAATGTTGCATATGGTCACCAGTTTTAGCATGAAGAGCAGAACAGTTGTATTGGCTGCAAACATGCATGTGTCCTGTCCAAAGAATGTTGTCCCTGAAAGTTCCATCCTGCTTCCAAAGTCAACAGCAAAAAGGACATTAACTGGCTGAATCCAGCTTTAGCAATTCCTCAATTACACAAGGCACCAGAGAATTTCACTTTTGACTCATCTGTGAATGCAACTTTGTATACAGGCACACGCAGTTTGCACTTGCCTTCATGGAACCAGAATGAAGCTGGTCACCAGTTCTGTGGTCAGGGACCACCATTCACCATGTATATCAATTCAACTTTGCTTCTAAATTGAAGTCTATAGGGCCAGCAGTTTAGACAAGTGTAAAAATGACAAAGCTTATTGTACCATAAATAAGAGTCTGTGCAAGATGCTTATCTTCAAGTTAAAGGACCCAGATGCTTACCCTATCAGCCCAGCAGCACAAGCTACTACTCCGTCTGTGTGATCCTCATCTCCAGCAATGTGGTCAATGAAAGAAAGAATAAATTCTACTCTGGGCTGCACCAGCATGACGTCCGCTGCAAGGCAACAACTGGCTTAGTATAGCAGGCTTAAAACATGGCCCACCTCTAGAGAGTAGCTAACCCATCAAACCACTTTTGATATAACAGTTTCCACTCTGCTCACACACCAGACTGCAGTGCTATAGGAGCTTCCTGAATTCAGGAGGAAAGGCTTGATGTTAGTCCAGTCCCCTTTATCCAAAGGTGGGGATTCTTGTTTTGTTTTTTCCCCTTAGCAGCTGTGAACTGATTAGCACTGTTGATCCCATTTGCATGCAATTTCTATTAAAGCCTCGGGAGCAGCTACTAATGAAGGAACTGATTTAAGCATATCTCCTACCCCACTTCCAATTTCAGATCAGCAACCGTTTCCATTGCACAACAGGGAATACTCACGGTGCACATTTTCTTGGTCTCCCTTCAGTCCCTGAATGATGCCAGTGTAAGCTTCCAGACAGCCCTCCCTTAGCTCATTCAGGTAGTCTACCATATCATAGTCAGACTAAATGAGAAACAAGAGAACATGCTTCTGTAAGGACCACCAGAAAGCCGCTGAGGCACGTACCCATTTCAGGGTTTATGAGAAGGATCTGCATGTGCTGCTGGCTTACCTTATCAACCTGGGCTTGGGAGGCCTGCTGCAAGGTGTTCAACACAACATCTAGGTATTTTTTAAACTCTCCACCAATGGCAAGGGCAATATCACCAAACACAGAAAGAATCTGAGGCTTTACAGACCTATGAACATTCTCGTTCTGAAAGTGGGAAGAAAAGATCAGATCCTGTTAGCTGGACACTGGAAGTAAGGACAGGCTAGTGAATTAGAGTAAAATACCAGAAACTGAAATCCACCCCCCACCCACCCCCACTTTTCCAAATGGATTCTCTTCAAATGGTCATGCTTACTAACTATTACTCTTGTATCTTCAGGTAAGAGGCCTCTAACTCCTCTGCTTCCCTATCTTATTTACTTTGCAAGAGCCAAGTTTGTCTAGCTAGTTATTGGTAGGTTATGCCCTTACCCCCAAGTTCTCTAAGAGCAGCTGCATAACCTCATCGCAGAAAGGCAAGATGTTGGACTGCAGGGCTCTACATAAGTCTCCAACTAGGCCCACTGCAGCCAGACAAACCTGAAAAGAGAACAGCAAATTATACACCCACCCAGAATGAGTCAGTGCTCCCCACACTGACTGCCCTTACAGCTTTAGCTTATTAAAAACACTAAATAATGGTACCAAGACAGACAGTAACTAAGAAAGCCACTAAGAATAATGACCCTTACCCGCAACTGCTGATAGGAGTCAAGGCTTTGTTAACCATTTGAAATGGTAAGCTATAGAAAGAAAATCTGAACAAGTTTCCCCAACTGAGAGAGGCAGTGTTTCAGATACCAACTAGTGACAGGTGACCTTTTTTTATTTTAAGAGAACGGCCATCAAATTTAGCGGCCAGGTGTTCCAAGTACCAGCCCCAGGGTAAATTCCATTAGACCTGCACATCTAATGGAAATTCACTGCCAATAGTAATCTCTCTCCTGATCAGCGTCAACAAAAAGTGGCCAATGTAGGACCTCAAGTGTCCAGCTGATGACAGTCTTCTGTGGGCAATTTACAATAGAGGAGAGTCTAACTTCATTTATGAGCGCAGCCATTAATTACAGAGAATTTACAGAGCTGATTTCAGTTTCATTACTGACTGCTCTCAAAAAGATGTCATCCTATTGAACATATATACAAGAGGCTGCAAAGACTTTCAGCTTTGGGTCCTACCTGGTATTCTGCATAGTTCTTCAGTCCAATGCCCAGGAAAGGTTTGAAGGCATCCATGTACTTCAGAAACTCTCCACCTAAAACTGTATGTACAGACACAAAAAAAAAAGCAAAATCCATTCCAATTAGGTCAAGAGAGACCTACAGAGACCAGTAACATGTTTGCCAGAGTAAATCAGGAGACCTACCAGTCAGTCATACCACTCAAGAGCTTGTACATTCAATAGAAGAATTGAGTAATAAAAGACATTTGTTTGGAGAAAAAGGAAAGTCTAAGATACCATCAGAGACAGTTCTTTGAAAATAAGGAATAGCTCTAAGGGTTGTTCAGGGTTCATCTAGCAATTGGCATCATGGCAAAAATGCACAGCCCCCCTACCCCCAAAAGATCAAAATCAAAATCCTGACTCATTATGAGCAGCTCTCCACCCAGTAGTCTGCACTCAGGGGAAGGGGCAGCATTACACCCCAGCCATTGAAAAGCAGGATTTATCAAGTTGATCCAAATTTTTTCTTCTGATTAAGGCCATAGTAAAGTCTCCCCTTTGGGGACAGCTGACTAGCCAAGGCATTTCAGCTTTGGAGACTCCCCCTTTACTGCTTGTTCTTCCAATAGTGAGTGCTTCTTGGGATGATCAGATTTAAATTTATTTGAAGGAAAAGGTTTATTTTTTTACAACATAATTTCACCACTCTTTCCTGCAGCTCAGTGCAAATTGGTTCATAACCTTACAAATTTCTGTGAAGGATGAGAATTGTTTGGCCCACTACTGTTCATTCACAAGCCAGATGCTGCCTGGATCATAAACAGCTGCTCAGTAGTAAACCTAGCCACAGTCAATCAGATTCTACTCAAAGGAAACCAAGCACCAAGTGTGGTTATAAATCTTCCCTATCCCATTAGGAGGGGCCTGTCCAAGTCATTGACCTGTTCCAAGTAATAGTTCCTTAAGCCTGATGTCAGAAGTGGCTACTCCAGACAGCTGAAATTAAACTTCTCTGCTTCTCAGACGTGTTCTTGGAGCAATTAGACATGTGCTTTGCACTAGAAATGGATCTAGTCCCCCAGAGAGCAGCCCCTCAACAAACTAGTTGTGATAATGGCCTCAGAAACCTGAAGGAAAATAAGCCTTTTGCAGGCTGCTGTCTCTCAAGAACCATTTCCAACTCATGCACAGCCTTTAATGGAGATTAATGTTGTTTTTAAAAAAAACAGTGAAATCATATGGATTCCTAACAATCCAACTTATATCAAATACTGCATGTTTGGATAGTACAATACATTGCTCAAGTTTGATATCATACCACAGCAACAGCACTCAAAACAGGAAATTGCAATGAGGCTCACAGCGCCTGGAATGCTGCAACCCTGATTTCAGAATGAATCAGATTGTAAAGGGGAGGGGAGAGGAACCCATGTTCAATCTTCACCACCACACAATTAAAAAAAAAAAAAAAAAAAA